CGCGTGCTTCGCATGCTACATAATACATTTCATTTCTTTCGTACACAATGCCAACACAACAATAAGAAAAACTCAAAGATACAGAAATTGGGATTTGAAAATAGCTGTAAATGAAAATAATGTTGTAGCAAAACACAAACAAATTCGACATTTTCAAACTTACCAGACAAATTTGTCATTTTCTTCCTGTTTTAATGCACATCTTCAAGACGTAACTTATCTATTAACACCTGAACTTTCTAACAAGCAGTATCGCCCTTTTTACGCACTAGACTCAAACAAAAAGTTCTTATCTGATACGTCTATATTATAAAGGTGACTGATATCATTTTATCTTTTCGCGCGATCTGATGTAAACATGTTTGCAAACTCCACTCATCACTGCAAAATTACACAAACTATCACCTTACAAAAAAAGCAGAAAAAAGCGGTTGTGAAAGCGGGTAAGATTACCAGCATTCTTGATTTTTGAAGCAATGGACAGAGGAAGCAGAAAATCATCACCTGTACAATTAAGAAATTTTTTTATAGACTTGTAAATCCCAAAAATATAAAAAAACACTCGCAAAACCCTACAAAATTTTTTGGCGTGGCTGCGCTACTGGCTCAACTATAGACTTCCCTGTGGTTTCTTTTTTCGCTTACGTTAGAATATTCGAATTTATTAAATATTTCGCATCAATAAGCAATACATCATCAGGACTAGACATTCAGCAAGAAATAAGATCACAAAAAGAGGAAGGACGTCCCGAGCAAATCACATGCCTGCTCGCGACTTTATTATGGTCCCGCCCAGAATGTCGCTAACGCTGCGTGCACTTTCGAGAAATAAAGGGTGTCCCAAAAAATGTGCCTACTGTTTGATCGTTAAATTTTCTTTCATGTAATCTGTCGAGAAGATTTAGGTAATCATATTGTAGAGGAAGCTTCAACTGAGATTCACAGTGTGGAGCGAAATACACCGCTCTTCATTACTGTAGGATCACGGTAGGAATTCACAGCATATACGCCGCTGTGAGATGGGCCGTAAAAACTAGAAAAAATTTGGAAAATTGTGTAATAAGGTCCTCCTGCTGATTTTGCGTTCCCGTTGGCAGAGCTTTTCGAATGGCTTAATCAAATTCCTTATCAAAAATTCGGTTGTTACGGTACCCAGCATAACTCGGACAGAGGAAAAAGTCCTCAGTTATGTACCGTCTCCGCGGACCGGTGGTCCCAACACGATGTACAATGTACCGGTGGTCCCGACACGATGTACAATGTTAGGGTGATCCGCAGAGACGATGCTTGATTGAGGTGTTCGTTCCTCTACCCCTGTAGAAGTTTTCAGCTTCTATAGTTCTTCCTTAGGAGTAAAATATGACCCTCAATGATAATCCCCCGCAAACTTCCAATACCGTAATCCTATGGTAATAAAGAGAGAACGGTATTCGCTCTTTACTGCAAACCTAGGTTAAAGCCGGCTCTGCAAAATGGTATCTAGAGCTTTTCCAAAGACTTCATAACAAGAGAATTATCAAAAATCAAACTGTAGGCGCATCCTTTTGGGACACCTTGTATTTTCCACTGTAGAACCTATTTATTTGTCTAGTAAAGCAACAGTATCGAAGGATATCATTGAACTTCGAAAGTTACTCTACAATATCAAATTTCAAAGACTTCTGCAAACGCTATAACAAACATCAGCAACCTGGAAAGCTCAACACATGAGCGATTCGAGGTTAACATCACCACATAACGGCCACTCCACTTTACAACAACTGACTGAGCGCAGCGTAGAATCAAAGATTACCCAACTTTCTCCGAGAAACTTCGGGCTGAATAGAAGAAAAGAATAATTTCTTTACACTGAATCCAAAAACAGCACACTAGACGAAGCTATGTTCACAGCTGGATAAGCGCGTAAAAGGTGTTTACCATACTTAGCAGACTAGGACCACGCATAAAGGAAGCAGCGTAAAAAAATCGATGCGAGAGACACTCGTAGTAGTGAAAAGGATTGCCTGCGGCACACCCTCGCCTTTTTCGTGGCGTCATTTGCGAAAAACCAGACCCACCCCTAAATCCACCTTTCTAGTCAAACGTGCATAGACGATTTCTCCACTTAGCCCTTGAACAAGAACTGAACGGAGATTGTACACAAGTTTATTTAGAAATTTCACATAAATAGAAACAATCTGAGAATTTGAAATTTGCGGAACAGCTCGATCAACAACCGTTTTTATTAGATAACTTTTTAACAACAAGCCGGAACAGTAGCATTTACATTTTGTCAAGGTAGTTGTCAAGAGCGGGAATACCCTCCTTGAGTCCCTTGCGTTTCCTTGTCTCCAAAACAACTTGATTGGGTTTCGTTCCATTTTCAAGTGGATCACCGGGAAGTATTTGCCAATGGTCGAATACGCATTGTGGGAAAGCCTGACCACCAGTATTTGAACGCAAATCAGCTGTGAAACCTGAAAAGAAAAATATCTTGCAGAATGTACGTTGCGAAGTATTCTGGTGATAAGAAGCTAGAAAGCCCAAATAAGCGCCTTTAGCTAAAATGCAACTATCGACTATATTCTTCGATGCATTAGAACGGTGGAAAACCATCTGTCAATAAACTGCGACCCAAAGGAGCTTTATTCAGTTTCATACTTCAAAACGCAGAAAGTAATATAAAAGGTCGACATATTTCGGATCAAGTCTGCACTATTCTATCTTTTGAAAGTACTAAACATT